GTGGAGAGATGTGTTTGAGAGCTTCACGGCATGCTGGTAATCTGGTACAGGCTGTCAGTCAACAGCTCGCTGGGGTTTCCATCTGGGAAAATGTAAGGGGATGTCAGATTTTCCTGGGCATGCATTTAAATGGCGCTGAAGGGTTTCCCTCATTGAGACGCCTCTGTAAGACCTCCTGAGCAAGTCGGGAGTATACATGCTCAGAGATGCTCAACAGTGAGAGAAGCTGCAGACTGGAGGCACATCTTAAGCTGGTACTTTTTTGACCTCTGTTAGAGGTAGGGGAATTAGTATTTTTTATTAACCAGGAGAGGTTAACTCTGAGGGACTGCTTTTAACACACAATCTTTATTTTCTTGCCGCTCATCAGTTTCTGGGGCTATATAAAATAATGTGTCTAACAATAAACAACAAAGTGCTTTGAAGAGAGTTTATGAAATATAGATTATGGTGGTTTTCCATGGCATGACAAAGAAATACATTTTGTTGTGCTCATGTTTATGCCTATATACAGCTGGAGCATCCCTGAAAATATGTGTTATTTTGGCACTTAATTTTAAAGAGCTGCTACAACACATAGATGCCTGTTGCTGTTCCAAGAGATGAGCAGGAGAGTGAAGGGGATATGTTCATGCTCTGTGTCAAGCTCAGGGGCAGAGGGACTGGGGATCCTCTGCGACTCCTGCTCAGCTCCCACCTCACACACGGTTGCTGTAGTGCTTCTTAACTATTTTGGCAAATCAGACCCAGAATGATTATTTTTGCCCTGGAGCAGCTGGGAATTGCCTCCTGTGGCTCAAAATGGGGGGATAAAACTTACTGTTGACTACCAGTTCACAGCCTGCTTTCTGGCCTGTGTCCCTCCCAGGCTTGGCTCCCTGGCATGTGTGGGCAAGCAGGAGCACCTTTGTAATTGTACATGGCAGCAGCATTTCTCCCTCATGGCAGGAATGGCTTTTTTACCCTATTAGTTGTATTTTGCCTTAAAAAAACCCCGACAGCATATCTAATCTCTCTGTTTTAAAGGACACTCTGTGAAGGATGGAGGTATTGTCCCAGCTTTATCCTCCTGCAAGTGATGATTGATCTAATCTGCTTTTCTTAAATACTTCTGTAGTTTACTCTTTTGTATTTTGAATCTGGATCAATTATTAGGTGCATCAAAAGTATATGTTCAAAACCTGTGCTGTAAAGCTGAGGCACAGAGAGATTAATGCCTTATTATAATAATGGATTATTAATGATCCATGTTTATACCCACGTTTGCTTTGGGACTTCAAGTCCTTCCCCAGGTCGGGGCGTTCTCCCACTCCAAGTACTGTTTCTGCATTGGCTGCACTGCTGGTTGGATACCGATGGCAAAAAATCTACACTGCTGCACCCCCTGATTGATGTAGGATAGTCTCACTTTCAGTATACGACTTGATTTGAGGCAATCTGTAACCAATTTCTTTTTTTTTGTTGAGGGGAGATGACCTATCAGGACAGTACAGAGCTGCAAAAGCCGAGCCAGGCCATGCAATGGTTGGGAGGATTGACACTGGGCAGTGACTTTCCCTGGTTTCCCAGATTTTGTGGCAGAGCGGGCTGGGAGGAGCAGGGTTGCATGTACCTTCTGCCACGTATCAGACAGGCAGCAGAGGCCCAGGTGTGAGCTGGAACAAGGAGATGTTTTGTGTAACAGAGGACCAGAGGGGATTTCTTTTTTTAAGACAGAAATTAAATGCTTGGAATTACTATGAGATAAATTTAAAGGATCAACATGATTTCTTCTAAGTTTGCTTTTAAGATTTTATTCATCCAAAAGAATTGATTTCCATAGCAATATCAAAAGCTGGGAGTAGTTACTGCAATGGTTTGGTTGTACAAAATTAATCTTACTCGAATAGAACCTGCAGCCCCGGCTTACGTCTGGGCTGGCTTCACCCCCGTTGAATCCTCTTGCAGGAGCAGGCTCCAGGTGTTCTGTCTCCTTACAGCAACAAATGGCTGAATTAGCTTTCATGAAACGTTTAATGGGTGTGCAACATGAAATACCAGTGTTGCAGTATATAGCTTTATTAGCTGAGCTGCTGGAATTGTTTTCTGAGCTATGTTGATCCTTAGCACCGATTGTGAAATGGAACAGAAATTATTTATTAGTCCTCGGGAGCCTTAAGACAGAATAATACTTATTCGGCTGGAAACACAGTCAATCTTGTTATAGATGCTGCTGCTTTTAAGGAAAAAAACAAACAAACTGAGTTTGTGATCGGTAGCAAACATTTTTGAAGTCTTCTGGCAGGGACAGGTGCGCGTTTCCCTGAAGGGTGGAGATGTGTGTATGGCAGATCTCGAGGTTGTTCCAAATAAAACTTAAATATAATCTAGGACAGGGCTTTGTATTTCAAAAAGAAAGATGTGCCATCCCCTAACAGCAGTAGTTAATCCTTCCAGGTGTTCCCAGTCCAGCAGAGCTGTGTCAGGTCCCAGTGGGACCATGTCTTTCCATCTTGGGAATCCCCAAAAATGGTTATTAAAAATACTATAAACAAAATCTTGTTTAGATATGTTTTACTCTTAAGTGGTAAGGTTTTATGAGAAAACTTTCAAAATGTGAATGTTCGTGCTTTAAATTAAGCCTTGAAATGAGGTAGTAGTTTTTATTTTAAAACCCAAGCAAACCTGCCAGTTTTGTTTTTCTGCAACACAGTGTAATGAATATATGTCAAATATTTCAAGTTTTTAAACTTAGTGAGGACTTTGAAATTTTACTTTTACCAGGTCATAAAAAGAAATAAAAAAAATACATCCCTTACAATATTTCCTTTGGTATCTAGACCACATGTGTATATGGAAAAGCAGTCCTACGTAGTGCCTGTTCAGCTTTGGTCCATGCTCTTTAGCTGCTGGAAACACAACACCCAAAAATTATCTGATAAAACCTTCAGCCCATGAATGGCTCGCCATGAAACCAGCCCCTGCTATCCCTCCCCGGTGGGGGGTTACAGTTCAGGAGGAACAGATTTCTGCTGCTGTTTTTAGGGTAGAAGGAGTTTCCTTTCGAGAAAACTTTGAGCAGTTCATGGGTTTCTGGCTGTCTCCCGAAGCCTTTCACCAAGAGGCTGCTTGAAGCTCGAATCGCCCTGGCACAAGAGCAGATTGCTCTGCAGCAGAGAGACTCTTAAGTGGTAAGGTTTTATGAGAAAACTTTCAAAATGTGAATGTTCGTGCTTTAAATTAAGCCTTGAAATGAGGTAGTAGTTTTTATTTTAAAACCCAAGCAAACCTGCCAGTTTTGTTTTTCTGCAACACAGTGTAATGAATATATGTCAAATATTTCAAGTTTTTAAACTTAGTGAGGACTTTGAAATTTTACTTTTACCAGGTCATAAAAAGAAATAAAAAAAATACATCCCTTACATTATTTCCTTTGGTATCTAGACCACATGTGTATATGGAAAAGCAGTCCTACGTAGTGCCTGTTCGCTTTGGTCCCATGCTCTTTAGCTGCTGGAAACACAACACCCAAAAATTATCTGATAAAACCTTCAGCCCATGAATGGCTCGCCATGAAACCAGCCCCTGCTATCCCTCCCCGGTGGGGGGTTACAGTTCAGGAGGAACAGATTTCTGCTGCTGTTTTTAGGGTAGAAGGAGTTTCCTTTCGAGAAAACTTTGAGCAGTTCATGGGTTTCTGGCTGTCTCCCGAAGCCTGTAGAAGAAAAATATTCAATATATAAAAAAAAAAAAAAAGGGGGGGGGGGGGAATGTAGTAAGTAAACAGTCAATAATAGTAGTATTCAAAAACTTTTTTTTTATTTATATTTAAAAAAAGGACCTGCATCATTCAAAAGAGCATTTTTTAGCCAATTTTACTGATTATGCCTCCAGTCATGGCGAGTTTTGTTGGTATTGATCTAATCTAGGAGTGTGAATGGCTCCAGAAATGCTATTCTGGTCTGGCTCATGTTTTGCCTAATATAATGCCCATTTCAAAAATTTGGATATATTCAGATTAATTTGCTCTCAGGTAAGAACAACCCACAAGGTGTTGGTAATCAGGAAAAGTAAGTGCATGCAAAAAAAGCCCAGCCCCACACTTGACCATTTAAGTAGCATTGCTGTCCTAGTAGGCTGAGAGCAGTGTGAAAAACTGCCATTGTAAAATGCTGCTTCTGTGTTTCTTTTCCGCATTCATTTTTGTCATTGCCTGATGCACGGCAAGGTAATAGACTGAGCAGAGCTGTGATTCTGCAGTAGCTTTGAACCGGACTTCAAAATTTAGAATAGAGTAGTATAATATTAAAGGACATCTTCTGAAAACGAACTCCTAACTCATCTGACACATCTCCATCGTATGTTCAGATCACAGTCTGGTGACTTGTGGAAAGACGCTATGTTTTTTGCTATTGTCTTTCTCCTATTTAATTGCATAAAGCTGGGAAGAGCTAGGGTCTTAAGGAAAGTGATGGGGAAAACAACGTTGGGTATAAGCCTTCTGGTCAGGTTGCGCTTGGTTTGTCCAACAGACCCTTCTGAGCATCAGCTGAATAGGGAAAGTGTTGGATTACCCAGGTCAGCTTGGATGCACGAGTCTTTCCAGCCTCATGTCCTTTAGTCTGTGACTGGCACATCCCTATTCAATGTCCGACTCTGTCATTGGCAGAGCTAGCAGGGACTTTGCTGAGACTTGGGTTCTGGGGTCAACTAGTTTTGCATTTTTCCTGCATTTCTGCATTTTCAGCCTTTCTGCACATTTGGCAGTAAATACCAGCACTTCATCCCATTTGGTGAGATGTAAATTGCTGAGATTATCGTGGACCATATTTGTACCTTCCCACCTCTGCTGCTGATATTCAAGTAACTTGTGCTGGGTTTTTTTGCAGGACCCAATCCTGTGAATAATTCATTTTTTTTGTTACAATTACCTGTATCCCTGTATACAAACCTTATTTCCTTCTCTGTTCCTGTGTCCCTCTTCTGTACTGATTCTGATTGTGTGTCCTGTGGTTTCTTGCAGTGTGTGCTGGCACCGAGAACAAGCTGAGCTCCCTCTCTGACCTGGAGCAGCAGTATCGGGCCCTGCGCAAGTACTATGAGAACTGTGAGGTAGTTATGGGCAACCTGGAAATCACCAGCATTGAGCACAACCGAGACCTCTCCTTCCTGCGGGTAAGCAATCCTTTTCTTGTGGGAAGTAGCCACGGATGGCTCCCACCAGCTCCACTGCAATATAAGAGGATAATAAAATGTGACAGATGTGCAGAGAACAAGAGCAATGGCATTGCTGTGACAGATGCTCTGAGTATGCATCGTTTAGGTTTATCCAGGACTTGGGGGAGAAAGCCATGTCACTACGCAGAAAGGTGACACCTTGCAGGTGTCTGTCACTGTGTGTTGCCAGCAGGTACGGAGGAGGTAAGGTAAGGTTTAGGAAGGTCAGAGAATCATGCAGATAAGCACTGGAGGCTTGGAGAAGCTAATCCTAATAAAATGCTATATACGGGCTGGTTGATAGACTACGCAAGGGAAGAACTCTGGGCAACATTTGTGGAGCGTTTAAGAAAAAAGAAAAAAAAGTTGGTTGCTGAATGAACATAAAACCCTCTGTGTACGAGACTGGAGATATGAGCCGAGCTGAACTTCCAGCATCCAGAGGAGGGAGATCTGTGACAGATTAAGGCTGTCCAGCCACTGTGGAGCCTGGGTTGTGTGCTCTCTCAGCCCTCCTTACTTCAAACTTTGAGTAACTATCATGCTTTTGGGTTTGTGAAGGAATGTTTCAGTGTGGTTTGTGTGTTCCCTGTTAACGTGCTAGCAATCATAAAGAAGGAAAGGTGAATGCTGAATTAAAAGAATTTAAGCCCACCATTATTTGGCGTTCCAAAACTAATTACGTTTGAAGAAATATCCCAGTAAAGGAGTGATCCAGTGCACTCAGGTGGGCATCTGAGGATGCTGCAGGCGATGTGGCTGCAACATGGAAGAAACTGGTATGTAGGCATGAAGGCCATGGTAGAAAAGGCAGCCCATGGCAGTGTGGTTGCAGGCTGTGCTGGTCATACTCTCCAATAGAAGAAGTCAAGCTGTGACACAGATAAGGGTTTACACTGCTCGTATCATATGGCATCACTCGCATATACTTCTGCAAAATGCTAATGTCATGTTTCAAGATGCATATCTGTATGTAACTGGCATTTTCATAAAAAGTACACCGGGGAATGGCAGCTTTAAATCCAGCAGCAGGAAGAGGGTGGCAGGAGTCAGCCCCAGCAGGTTGTGTTACACTCAGTCATTTGGTTTGCCGGGTCTTGGGTGAACGTAGTGCTCAATTTCAGTTTGTAAAAATGTGAACTTTGCATTACGGGTTCTAACGAAGGCAAAGCTGATTATCCAACAGCATGTTTAGCTCTGCTTCATGTTAAATTAGTTGGGGATTTCACAGCATTTCCATTCTATATGTTGGCCTATATTTACTCAAAGCGTATACCAGGCTGCTAAAAGATCTGCAAGCAAAATTCAGCTACCAGATATGTCTGGAGTAGTTTGGGGTGCTAATTGCACTCAGACTAACAGGTTGCCTGTTAATTTGAGTGACGAATGCCTAGGAAGTAAATGCTATCTATACATTTCACAGTTGTGACAGGTGGGGAAATCACATAAGCTTGTGCTGTGAAATACATAGCCGTGGTGCAGCTGGACTAATGTTTCCCACCACATTAGACAGGCGGCAGATAGATATCTCCTGCATGGGCAAGATCCCCACACTGGTTCAGGCATCACTGGAGTTTCAGATGCCTCCTGAAACCCCTGACTGGGCCATCGTGCATGGCTAGAATTCATCATGGATGGTTCTCCCGCTTTGGCTTTCCTTCCTTCTTATGCTGCCTGCTGGTAGGTAGGGAAAGCAAATTATTTGGAAATTAGGGAATTAACGTTCCTTGTGGAGAGCTGCCATAAGCAGAGTAAAATATTGGTGGAAAGTGGGCAGTAAAATCAGCAAATGAGAGAAAGAAAGAAGGGCCCTGTGTACTAAATGAGGGTGGTTCGGTCACTTGTGCTTTTTGGTGACAGTTACTATTGCTTTTTTATTAGTTTTATTACTTCTCTTACCTGAGACTGCCCTCTCACAGATGTCTCAGCAAAAAGCAGAACTTGAAACAAAACCCAGCAAACTGGAAGTCTAGTTAATATGATAAATTGTAGTCATTAAAATAGAAAACCAAACTGAGGAGAACATGTTCTTGGGGAGGCAAATAAATAAATAAATGTTGGCATATTTACGCCGATAATTCGACATTCATTAGTTAGGCAGTATTATTTGTTTTATCATTTTAAAAATGGTTTTAATGGCCAAATGAAGGTGGCAGATGGGAGATAACTGAAAGAAAGGCTGTTTGTCTCTCTCAGACTTAAATATGGTGAACTCATCATGCAAGGTGATGCTCTTCCAGCCTGCTCCAATTTTCCTTAGTCTCTGCTGCAATAATTGCCCTCTTTCTCCACCGAACGGACTTCAGGTAGCCAGCTGATGTACCCCTGGGTTATCTGTACGTCCAGCTGATGAGTATCATGGCTTTGTGTGCTGCCCGCCTGCCTTCTCGTTAGTGCTCAGCTTAGCTGGGCAGCCTCTCACTCCAGGACAGAGGGAAGACCTAGCGAGCTAGGCATCCTGAGCTTTTTTATCATGCAATAATAAACTAATACCATCATGAATTGAAGTGAAAAAAACCCCATAATTTTATTTACCCTGCAGAGGAACATTAACAGATGAGCATCCCATCTCTTATATTTATTTAGACATTTATTCCCTAGGTAGATTTGCGTTATGTCTATGAGTTAGCGCTCTGGATGTCTGCTGATTAAGACTAAAAAGGGCTGCCTATCACCTGAACAAAATGCTCAACCACTTAAACTTCCAGGCCTGCAAGCGAGTGCATGGCTTTGAGGTTATGAGGAGCTTCATTCATGTAAGAAAGGATTGCATATACTAGGGTTTTTTTCCTAGCATTTTTCGTATGTGTGCAGAACTGGAGTACAAATCTGCTGGTTTACTTTTACGTATTTTATTTTTGCTTCTGGTTGTGTTATAGTCTGGATATTGCTTGCCCGTGGGTGGCCAAAACAAGGGTGAGCAATTGCAATGTGAAGTTGTGCTCTGCGTGTGCTACCCTCCAGCTCCATCAGCTCTGCTCCTGCTGCTCGGTGCTTCCCCGTACGGCGGCCACAACAGGAGTCCTGGCAGAGAAAAGGAGCACTCGGTAGGAGGAAAAAATGTGTCCAAGCCTGAACGCTGGGAAGGACAACATGTTTCTGTGGGCTGATAGCCGGTTTTCTTTGTTATTCTTCTGAGGCTCAACCCACCTACAGAAAATGTATGCTGCAGTAATTCAGTCTTTGGAGTCCCACCACCGCAAGCTTTGGCAATGAAATAAGGCTTAGGTTAATGCGGCGCATTGCTGCTGGAGTAGCACCTCCCTGTCGTGGCCAAGGCAGGCTCTCCACTGGTGTAGGCGCTGCAGTAGGGACAGGCACTTACTGTTTCCAAGAGCATGATTAAACTGGGCAGCAGAAATAATTGGGTGGAAAACAGGCCCCAAGAGCTCCCTTGTCCCTGTCACATGTCCAGGCTCACCCAGCAAGTCAGCAGTGATGGTGGGAAGAGGTTGGGCTCCATCTCGCATTGATTCCCAACCCACCGGCATCCTTCAGCTAATTGCACAGGCCAGGTTTTTGTGCTGGGACTTGCTTGTGAAACTAGATAAGCTGGTTGAGCTGGTGCATGTCTTGAGTCTCATCAAGGCTAGAGCTGAGATTTATTTCCCTGGTTTGGATTTCAGAAAAAAATCTTGAGAAAAGCTCAGATCATGCACTGGTTCATGTTGCAAACAACTGGTTGGTTTCAGAAGCGAGAACCTATTTTAGTTTCACTTAGTAAAACTGACAGTTTGTATTGTGGACAGTTCTTATTTCTTAATAGCATCTCTGCATTCAATTTTCGAAATAAAATACACAATTAGTATACCACAAAACAATCTTCTGCAAGCACTCTTGTTCTGTTAAACACATTTGGTAAACAAGAGTTATCTTTGACTAATCCCCAGGCTTTTAGCAATTCACAGTCAGTAAATTGTCTTCTCACGCCTGGGTTTTATTTAACCAATTCAGATTATTTATGTTTGAAGGCATGACCAAAGTTCTGCGCTGTTCCCTGCAATAACTCTCCCAAATGATTATGAAACTTACTTCTAACTGCAATTAACAGCCTTCGAAAATTATCTACCACCGCTTTATAAATTCTTTTTTCATTTACCTCTATAGTAGCTCTGTAGCACCCTCAGCCACGGCTACGTTGGCAGCTATCTGCCTGCCATTTAACAGGGTGGGCGTTTCATGGTGGGCAGCTTTACAGCCGCTGCAGTTACTGCAAAGACATATAGCCCCATTTCCCTTTGTCAGCATACATAACTGCGTGCTTGGTGAAAACCTGCACCAGCCTGTACTTATCATTTTCCTTACAATCACGTTTAGACTTTGTGGCAGATGGAATTTGGGGGTTTGGGCTTTATGTATTTTTGCTTCTGGTTGTGTTACAGCCTTGGAGGAAGTCTGAGTCAGACAGACCCCTCCAAGGGGGAGGGCCTGACAGAGCAGCCATGGGAAGAGTTGGTTGCAAACCACGCTGCCTGGCCCCTAGGCATTCAGAACTGCTGCTGGTTAAAAAAAAAAAAAAAAAAAAGTAATTTTTTTTAAAGCTTTTTGCTTTTTGGTCTTTTACAGCAAAATGGGTCTAAGCAGACCCTTCTGAAAGCTCCGGTGGCAGAGCTCAGTGTGGAAACCCCCCCCCCTGCGCCCTGGGGATTAAAAACTGCTGCGGGTTAAAAAAAAAAAAAAAAAAAGTAATTTTTTTTTTTTTTTAAAGCTTTTTGGTCTTTTACAGCAAAATGGGTCTAAGCAGACCCTTCTGAAAGCTCCGGTGGCAGAGCTCAGTGGAGACGTGGGCATGGAGAGAGGCTGCAGTCTGAACAGATGTGTCAGGAAGGGGAGCGCAGAGACAGGAGGGTATTGCCTTGTCCAGTTTGCTCGGCAGATCACTGTGATAATACGTATGGCTCCTGAAGGCCTTGCAGCACAGCTCTGCATCCTCTTCTGTAGCAAAATGGTATCTTAAT